TAAATGAAATTGCTCTAGCCTCATAAGAAAATATCATGATTAAATTTTTTACAAGAATCTCTAAGGACATTATTAAATAATAATAATAATAATATCATAAAACAAATAACATTAAAATAAAATAAACAAAATGAAAATAATAAAAGTTCTCCTAACATGCAGCAGAAAACTTTCCTCCTGTCTTGGAAACAGATACTTCACACCAAAAAAAAAAAAAAAAATGCTAAACTCACTCTTTGCTACCAACCCTCAAAGAGTCAAGATGTCAATCTCCTATCCTCGGTAACTTCCTTGTCATAAGACAAAGTGACTTCCTTCCTCTATCACATGCAACCTTAAAACACATAAAATACACACACACAAATGAAATTACGAGTTTAATTTACAATTTAACATGCTTTTAATGTTATTTCCTTGTATGATTTTATTCCAGTGAACACGATCCTATCCCTGCTGGTGTGATGTGAGTGACCCCACAAATCTACCAACAGAGAACAGAGAGGATAAAGTGAGGCAGAATAGAGACGAACAACAGAGGAGAGGCGAAAAATGTTTCTCTCCCCATCTATACATCTCCTGGTTTAATAACGGATTTCAATTAGTCATAATTAACAATAGAAAAGCAGCCATTCACAAGTAATTGTGAACTTAATTACGAGTTTTTGTCAGAGACATGCAAGTGCTCCTCAGTTGAAGAAAGGCATTAAAATTCCCGACTGCTGCACTTTTTACTCCTAAGAACGTTGCATTGCATTTTAGACTAGCATTTGGTTAGATCTTGTTTCTTGAGTGATCACTGTGACTGGAGACAGAAAAAAAAATGATATGTTCCTATAAAAAAAAAAATTTAAGAAAAAGACAGATGATAAAAAAATCATTATGTCCTGACTTGGCATCTAGGCTGTAACGTAGTTCCCTTCTGCCTTTTCTATAATTATTTCATGGTAACTGTTCTGATGAGCTTTCCTCTTTCGTACCTAGACTTTATGAATTTAAGTACAGTACTAGATTGGCAACTAGGTCTCATCATTTTACAGTTGAAATTGCTCATTTTAATCATAAGTTCTATACTGACAGTTTCTTCTCACACACTTCTTGTTTGTATAATTTTCTTCTAGCTTTCCAGATAACTTTGATCTTCAAAAATTTAAATAATGTCAATTATGATCTTTCTTCTTGAATCCTATTCTTTTATTGACCTCTCTTATTAATGATTTTCCACTCAGACTTTCAGTAGCACCTTGTATCTTAGTGGCTTTATCACCTTGCTTACGGTAAAATGGTTAAAAAAAATAAAAATAAATAAAAATAAAAAAAATAAATAAATAAATAAAACATACCAAACACTGTCAAACGTCTTCAAGATACCTAAAAAGCAACAGTCTGAACTTCGGCATTCTCATATAAAGCTTGACAGACTCTTTCAGGAATAACTGTAAACAAATGCCATATTGTTTGTCTAACAAAAGACCCAGCAAGATGATATGCTTAACCAATTCAGAGTTGATTACATTCTTGAGGACTTTGCCAAAAAGAAGTAGAAGAATAATAGGCTGATGGAAGGATCAGATGGTTTGCTATAATTCTTAAAAAAAAGAAAAGGTCTACAGAAGAGGATTTACAACAGGCAAGAAAGCAAGAAGCAGCAAGGTATTTATTGTAGAGTTTAGAGATAACAGAAACCAGTTCAAGAGCACATTTCTATTGTAGAGGATATCATGAAGTCCACATGCTTTATAGGGATCCAGTTTATAGAGATGATAGCAGAAAGCATGGCTGGAATTATATACATATCACACAGGAGAGGCTCAGTTCTAAGTGGAAAGTCAAACAAAAATACTCCAAATGAGTCAAGAGTAGATCTGTTGGAAAATTTTTGAGCAAAGCATTCTGCTTTATCAGCAGAAAATGTTAACACTTCAAATTGAGTGGAGAGATGTGGGATAGAAGACTTAACTTTATTTAACCCATTATTACAGAGAACAAAACTTGTTTGAAGTCTATACAGTGCATCATTCTGTCAGCAAAGATTTTGCCTCACTGATGACATGCCTACAGTTATTACAAGCGGTCACAAATATGCATTTAATGTAATCAGAACTATCACTTTGATACAGCCAGAAAAAGTGATTCCTGTGGGTTACAGCAGCTGACCAGGAAGGTGCAAACCAAGGAGAAGATTGTGGCTTCACCTGGTATTTCTGAGATGGCAAAAAAAGCATCAATGCTGGCTTTTATTCAAGAAGAAACCTCAATGGCACAATTCACAACAGGAAGGTTAAAAAAATCTCACTCCAAGAGGCATTGTGATGAAAATCACAAAATGAATCCCAACTAGTATACTGGTAGCAGAAAAAAAGTTTTGTGAATAGGGAGTTCATGTTTAATAGACAATTCAAAAGAAATATCAACATATACTGCAATGTGATCCAAATTGCGAAGAGGACAGTGTTGTGATGCTCGACAAGAGCCAGGGGAGAAAGTAATGAACAAATCAAGTAAAGAAGCATGCTGATCAGAATTATTAGGGAAACAAATAGGAAAATCAATTATTTGATTGAAACTGAGCAACAGAAAAATTCAAAGTTTGAATACAAGCAACATCAATTTCATTAAAATGATTAAGCCACTTGACATGATGAGGATTAAAATTATACAACATAAATGTTCACAGATGAAGGTAAAAGGAGAGAGGGAAAGAGACATTTCTATGCTGTTGAATATTTTATCTAACATGTTAGAGTTCTGAGAAGAGAAGGAGTGATAAAGAAGAAAAAGAGATAACTAAAAGAATGCAATAAAGAAAGTCAAAAACATATGAAAGAATCATCTGGGCACCCAAGATACAATTACCTTGCCACTAGATTTTCCCTGATGTAAATACCAAGGCCATGAATATGCAACCTCAAATTTCTTCAAAAAAGTGAAAGATGGCCTGGAATAGAGAATTCATTGGTAGTGATAGAAGAGTTTAAATTAGTTTTACAAAGGTTGGTTTGTTTGTTTAATGATATTATAATGACAAAAGAACGCAGGTGTAGGCTTTAATCAAGCTTTATTCAACTGAGAATACAAAGTTCACATATAGTGTCCTTTTATAGTCCCAGTAAACAGAAATAGCTCTCTCAAAGAGGAGCATAACGAAACGATGGGAGACCACTCCTGATTATTCATAGCAGATATATCAATTCATTATGAGTCATTTAATGCCAAAATTTTATTTTCTTATGAGTTTTGGTAATTTTCCCCGCCACCACCATCAAATAATGTATTGCTGGTAATTTTTTTTTTTTTTTAATTTTATTTTATAACTTTGAAAATGTATTGCTGGTAATTTTTTCTAATGTATTTTTATATTTTCATGTTTTGACCTAAGTTAAGGGGTTCAATATTTAGCTGGAACCCTAACAGGTGCTACCGCCCTGAATCAGGGTGGACCTGGGAACCACATCAGTTAAGAGATGGTTCCATGCTTCTGAAAAGCTTCTGATCAGGTATTGCTGCCAGATGTAGTTTATTGTCATGGAGTTTCACAAAGTGCTAATTTATATGTAGAATGTTTTAAGAGAAAAGATTCTACACTCTGATTTCTTTACCTGTAACTTTCATAAAAAGACTGTTTTAATTTTTAAGGAGAAAAAATTCAAAGCAATTATCACTGATCATTCTTTAGAACAATACACACTATTTGGAAGGTGACTAAGAATAAAGCATGAGGCCTCAGGGTTTTCCCACCAGAAGTACATGCATGGTCACCTTTCTATGCTCAGCATGGCACCACAAATACTCAGATATGTGACCGTTAACCAGGGCAGACTCTAAGCACTACCAAAAAGTTCCATCTCCTTGCTACCAGTCAGGATGCAACAACCAGAAAACTGACAAGCCAATACCCACAAAATGAAAAGTTGGTACCATTGATCAGTCAGATTACCAAGAAAGTTAAGACAGTTAAATAATTAAAGGCCATAGAAGAAAGGAGGAGGTAAACAACATCCTAAAGATCAAATAAAGGGAAAAACTTCTACTCCTATTCAATAAACAATGAGTACAGGCTGGGTGACAGACAAACCTGTCTACTCTTATTACCCCCCTGTTAACAGCACAGGAGACTGGACACTTTTATTGAGACACCATCTCTAGGAAGGTTGCCAAATAAGCCTCTTGACCCCCTTTCTGGCCAAGAGGGAAATAATAAATTATTAAAACCTCTCTGAAAGTTAACCAAAGAGTTGAAATCTAAGGAATATAACAAAAGTAGATCACTTGAATTTCACATACAAAATTCAAGTTAAAACCAATTAAAATTTAACTTAATTCTACCTTTTATAAGAACATAATTAAAATCCGTTTTCATTAAATCTTTTACAAAAACTTTGTACCTTAAGGCATTCCAAAGTAAAGTCTGTTTTAGGCAAGGTTGATCTTACATAATATTAATCTATAGTAATATATATATATATTATATATATATATTTATTTATTTAACATGTTGATTGCCAGAGGTCAGTTTAAAATACCAACTTTATAATAGCTTAGGCAATAAAATTGTTTTTATTATTGTTGTAGTTTTCACAGTGGAGGCTTGTATTTCAATAAGTTGTTCTAAATTAGGTTCGACGTACAAAACGTTAGGAACTTGGAAATAAGAGTTAATGACACAGCAATCTAGTTGTGATGGTTGGTACTTCAATGTCCGATATCGTCTGACTCGCTCATCACCACTGAGCCGAACTGGCGACTTCTACTACTACTTATCTGTGGGAGAGTCCATTACAATAGAATAGGTATTATGGCATAACAATTAGTTGATTTATACCTTCAACTGAAGTCTTAAGACTGTTTTTGCACAAAAAGTATCACTGCAAATAAACTCGGTGACTACAGAGGAAAATCTATCATAAAATTCCAAGCACAGAGATTAACTTGTGGTTGGCAGTATTTGTTATGACCCAGACTATGTATTGTAGTTGGTAGTCAGTGTGTTAACCCTTTGAAACCTAATGAGTCTGGTATATGCACATTCACACATCGGTCAGTATACTGGTCACTTCAAAGGGTTAATGGATGTCGGAGTAAATGAATGATCATCTGATATACCAATTATAATTTATTAATAATAGAAACAAAGTAATCAATAAATAACAAAAGGATATATATCAGCTCAATTTGATTGTTGCTAAAACTTTTTGAATGTTAATAGAAAATACTTGGTTATACAGAACAGAAGTAAAAATAAATATTAGGAATGGAAACGCTTTTATATAATTGAAAATAATTTGTCTTCCTTAACCCTAGAACACTAACCATGGGTATATAGTACCCAGCACAGATTTTCCTATTTTTAATTACAATTTTCAGTACCTGATTTTTTTACCTAAATAATAAAGATTTATATTTAATATTTTGTTTGATATTTTCAAAATTGGGTATGATATCCCCATGGTTAGTAGTGATGTAACTTTGATGGTTAGTGTCCTAGGGTTAAAATATTACATTGATACTTTAATAAATCAAAACATTCATTTGTGCTAATATATAAATAAAATAACAATTTCTTTGTATAAATAATTTAGCAAATAATATAGTATTAATATTCATAATAAGTTAATGCAATATTATGAATAATTATTATGGTATTAGGTTGGTGCAAAAATAATGTCGTTTTCTCTTTTGAAGTTGAACGTCAAAAAACGACATTATTTTTGCACCAACCTAATAATTTTACATCCTCACATTATCTTATTCATCATTATTATAGCATCTACAAAATATAAAAATTCAACAAATAAATTTTTAAAAGTTATAACCATTAGAGAAAAAAAAATGCTAGAATTAAAAAGTGCCTCTTAAAAAGTGTGTAAAATATGTCTTCCTTTTCTTTATCATAAAAGGAAGTTTTTTTTTTAAAAAGATGTTAAATTATGATTAATTATAATTAATCATTCATTTGAGTTAAATCTTTAAACAAATTAGCAAATATCAAGTATTTAAATTTGATAATAAAAATATTTAAGTTAAATTTAATATATGCAATTCAAGCCAATTAATATGATGAGAATAATAAAAAAAAAAAGAAATATAGATAAAATATATAACTCAATATAAAATATGCAACTATAAATAGTCAATATAATATAAACAATTTTACTTTAAGGGAACATTATCTTTTTCCCCCCACAATGACTCATCTCTTCAGGATCTAAGTGATTGTGGCTCTCCACGGTTACTTTATATTATCAGTGAATTGCCATGAATTCACAGGAAAGATAGAGGAGTGATTTCTAAACCATGGTTTCCTTCTCTATGGTTTGGTATTCAGTTTTTCTTCTCTTTGACTGGTTACCACCCAAAGCTAGAAAGCTTGGTCTACCCTGTTATAGAAAGAGAAGAGACATTTATGACTTTCCAAAGGGAAAGTGTGTGTGTGTGTGTGTGTGTAAATGAACACAACAGACTATACTGTAAATTGAACTCTGCATTCCATGCTGATATCCACCACATTATCCAAGCATCCCATTATACACATATAATCTGGACATTTGACAGATCATTTAACTCGTTTCCTAGAAAGCTGATTAAAAAAGTTGTGGCATGAAAGAATTCTCACAGAATATTAAAAAAGAAAAAAAACTGAAAGATATATTCCTTACCTTTGTAATTAATTATAAGTACAACGATTTCATGTAGTGAATAAATGCTGATTTCTTCATTTGAAGTATATTCCCTATAAAAATGCAGCCAGTTGCTTAAAGCAACATTAGGTCCTTCTGATTTTAAAATGATGTTAAACATTAACTTTAAGGCCTGAAATAAAGAGAGATACAAGACCAATTATTAATAAAATAAAATGTTAGAAAGTAATATTTGGCTCAAAGCATATTGAACCACTTTTTTCAACCCCTCTATTTCAGCAGTAGTAGTTTGAATGCTAATTTTTCAGGTAAGCTATACATTTAAGATACAAGGCAATTTTCTTATATTCCCCGCCCCCAAACTGACCTTGCACCTCAGACTGACTAACTTCAGGTGTTGGTTGGTATTATTTATTAGTGGCATTTCAACACCTTTATGGGTTATTTAATGCCAAAATCTAAATATTTTGAATATAGTTTTATAGCTTTAACTACAGATAAAATGTAATATTGGTAATTATACTTCAAGAAAATGTATCATTGATAATTTTACTATAAATATATATATCATTGGTTATTTATATATATATAATTGTATTGCTGGTATTTTTACTATAAAAATCTATTTTTGAACTTTCATAGTGTTTGGGCGTTCACTATTTGCCCATAGTTCTGGGACCCTAACAGGTCCTACAACCCGGATCAGAGTGGACTTGGGAACAGCAGCAATTAAGAGTTGGTTCCACGCTCCTCAGAACCTCCAATCACCTGATCAGAGGCCTTGATAACTCCAGGGGTCCCTTGTTTATAGAAAGTTTGCACAAAGGAGTCTAACTTTCCCTACTTTTTAAAGGAATTATCATTAATATGGGAAATTTTTTTTTAGACTTTCCATGTAACACAAGGGGACCCAGTTGTGCTTAGGACACACAAGGTGAAGTCAGTCTGAAATGAAGGGTCTGGTGTTTTATGACCAGCAGTAAAGTCTAAATGTCAGCTCTTCAAAGTAACCACGCCAGCGTCATACTACTTACAACTTGTTCACTACTTGAAGAGGAAATAGAACTGTCAAAGAACCTGCATTGCCTTGAGAATCCAGCAGAGTAGTCAAATGCCTTAACTAATTTGTGAGATTTGCTTTCATATTTTATCAAAATTCTAAGAATTTGCTATTATTTAATTTAAGCTAATTTGATATTCATATTTCCTAGGAGAAGCTTCTGTTTCTACATATACAAACCAGATTGACATCTATACTTAATTTTGAGCAAAATTACAGACATCTTTGGATTATAAATATTGACATATAAATGCAATAATCCAATTCATTCTCCTATATATTTTTTTTAGTCTAATTGAGAGTAATTTACCAAACATATATACTTTCAACACTCCTTTACAGGAGTGAGACAGGCCTTGTATGCTGGTCAGTAGAGGAGATTAATAGTTTTCACACAAGATACTTAAGAAATATTTTAAAAATTAAATGGCAAAATAGGGCCCTAGATACAGAAGTGCTCAAAAGAGCTGGCATTCAGTCACTATATTTTATCCCTGTGATCTCAGCATCATAGGTGACTTAGGCATATTGTGCGCAACTCCAGAATTCCCAAACAGAGACTGTATGGTGAACTGTCTGAGGACACATATAATGTTGGACAACCAAAGCTTTGCTTCAAGGATCAGTGTAAAATATCTATGATCAAATTTTCTATCAATGTTGTGAACTGGGATGCAGTTTCACAGAAGCAAGGATCCATGAAGAGAATAGAATCCAGCATGTCGTAGGGTAGACAAAAATACAAATGATGCATGGTAGAGGACTCCACAGTATTCTACTACTGTGGTCATTGTCAAAATCAGTACCAATTGTACATTGGTTGTTTTAGTCAAGATCAGTGCTGTGTTTTAAGATAATTTATTTTTCACTGTCGACCGTCACCATCGACAAAAAAGGCTCAAGAATTACAGATATAGTATCATACTATTTTAAGTGCATTGACAAAGGATGAGACTGTGAGGATAAAAAGTTTTCCCATTCTTAACCAAGCCTGCTGACTTATTGAGGGCAACATTTATCAAACCACAGGGAAAATAAAAATAAAATTAAAAAAAAAAAAATAAAAATCACCATTTCCAATTATGTTCAGTAATCTAAACTTTTATTTAATTTATTAAGTAAAAAATACTTTTTTTTTCTTCAATAACTTGTGGAGTAGCCAAAGGCAAAATAAGTGACAGAGCTGTCTAACAAAAACAATTGACAAAGTTTGCAATAAGCAATAACAAGGAAAAGAAAAGAACAGGGCAAAACGATTATATAAATGAAGAGTAAGCGTTCTCAAAGCAAATTTGTGGCTTTCACAACACAAAGAAAGAAAATCACTTGTAACGTGTCAGGAAAATAACTCACGAACGCCGTAGCCAAAACTGCCTGAATTTTCTTTTTCCCCCCCGAGTCGACAACACCAACTGCTTTTATCGGCAGAACCTATTTTTTCCATTAGTCGACAGCCGGGATAGGATGCTCCGTAATTTGCATATTAATATACTTTTATAGCGACTCCTGCGACGGACTTGTTTCTTTTTGTCACAGAATACACGTTGACGCTAATCGCTGGATTGACGAGGTAAGTCGCTATAAAGTTTTGCTGACGACTTTTGGCAATCCCTCCCCAGCAGATCGCACACAAAACACGAACTTTTTTCCGGGGTACTTGATTATCTTGTTCACTACAATAAACCAAGTAAACAATATATGCAAAGCAAAGCAACAGTAATATGGTAAAAAGTCCACAAACTAAGAATTGGGGTTAACACAAAAGCAAGTTTGAACAAGCGAACATAACATCCTGACTTCAAGACAAGACAGACTAAGTTAGAAGAAACTGATAGTCAGCCTATTTTATTGGCAAGGAAAAAGATTTCCAAGCATGCATTTATGTGCATCTGCCTATAAATTGGGAAGGGGCAAGTGTTTTACAGTTATTCCCATTTTGGATTGGAACCAACAACTTTATTAAAAACACATTTACTAATCTCTGTCTTTCAACCAATGCTACAAGTTTCTATTTCTCAATAAAGAACAGCCTGAAATGAATTTTGCAGGCCATCTATGCAATTAAAATTATTTAATAACTAATTTCTGTAAATGGTCACAATAAATAGTAATCAAAATATTTGCTAAATTGAGTCAAAGAGTACAAATTTCTGGTAATTCTAACAATTTTACTAATTTAATAAAATATCTGTATTTTTAGTAGATGAATAAACAAAAATTTCAAGATGGTTTCTCTCAGGAGTTTGTTTTCCTATATTCTTTTTAAAAATCGTTTGTTCTTAGTCATTTTCCTGGAAAGCAGGTAGCAAGTTGAAAGATAGTCATTGCAATGCTTGTGTTATTAAATGGGCTGAAGTTTGAAATGAACACAAATTAACATGCTATAGTTTTGGAAAAGATTTGAGCATCATGTGGCTAAAATAACCTTTCCATTCAAAAGCATTTTAACATAAGAGGACCTAGACTGAAATAAATTTGATTGTGGGTTGCCATTCTTTGATGTAAATGGCTTCCAGGATTTTTTTATATTTTTGTTTTTTTATTGGAGTCATAGTATGTAAACACACATTAATTTCAAATTTTAACATAAACCTCACATGTCAATCTCTATTTTCTATCTCTTTTGCTTGAAAACAACCAATGGTCAAAAGTACTCAGAAAATAAAACAAATTAAATCACCCACCCACATACCAAGTTGTTAGAAAATTAACATTCCAAACATGAGACCAGGGTTAACTTCTTGATAATATCAGCCTGGCAAGAATATCACATTGTATGGTACTGTTACAAAGTACGTGAAAACTATACCATTGATTGACCAAGCTCTCGTAACTGAAATTGCATACATGGAACTGTTCAGAAAGCATCAAAGGTTGTATTAATATGAAGTCATAAGTCATCATGATTGAAGCTTTTAGTGTATTGGCTTTTTTCAAGCTATTGATCATACCAGATTAAATACAGCTCCCCCCAAAACTGTAACTAAAGTCCAGTCAGCAGTTGTAGTATATCCTGTTGTGAGTATTAAAGAAACATATAATGCCTGAAACAGGGAATTAGCTAGCCACTCGAGAAGACAGACACACTTGGATATGAGTGGCTAGACACACACAGGGTGTGAGTGATAAATTGTTGTATAAATTACAGAAAAATGGAAATAACACTGACATCTCATTTTAACAGATATATTGACCAAAATTACAGAAAAATATCTGCAAACACTAAAGAGTAAATTTATTCAATAAAAATTGCCATTGGCTTCAACCATGGCCTCTAGACAAGTTCGGAATCTCCTGTAACTCTTCTGGATGGTCTCCTTGTTTATGTTGGAAAATGTTGCCATAATCCAAGCCATGAGTTCATCTTTGATGTTACAAGGAGTTTTGTTGATCTCTCACTAAACTGCAGTTCACAAATAATAATCCAGGGGGTTTGGCACCCAAATACTCTGAAATGTTAATATTGGAGCTTTTGGCACATGGTGGATACTCAATCCTTGTTGAATTCCCACTTTTAAGTGTCTTTGTGCGTTCAACACCCACAGACCCCACCTATGATTTATATGGTAACTATGCTAAATGAACCTTAGTTTCCCAGAGAGAGTACATGATCTAATCTAGTGTGATCAACAGTTTGAAACAAGGTCAGTACAGCCAAACTCTTGAATTGTGACTTCATGCAAGCACATAGTACTAGCTTTAAACAACTCCCAAACAGTTTCAAGTAGCCAATTTCATTTGCAAGGCTTGGATTAAGCTGTGGTATGGTTTTCAGGTACTTTCCAACAGTGCCACATGCTTAGATTGCCTCCCTGACTGATAACATCAAGGTTATCTCCCTGACACGATTCAAATCTGGGCCTCATGTTCAAAAAGTGGCTGTTCTAACTATATATATAATACCAATTTCTATTTGGTGGGGATAATTTCAAGGATGAGATTAATCCAGAGCTCAATGTAAGTTGCAGAGCAATACAATGATAAATCAAGAAAAACCTTAAAAGTCCATCTCAGTTATAATTTATTTCATAAATATTTTTATATTCATCTCTTCAGATCAAAAGAAAAAAAAAACTCTCTCTCTCATACATACACACACACACAATATTAAAAAAAAACATTACCACTTCAATGGGAATGCATTTCTTACAAAAGTAGAGAGGTTTTCTTTTTTTGACTTTTAAATTCACTGCAAGCAAAGCAATAATGACACTAGAACACAAGGGAGTGACTTGGAAAGAGAATGAGAAGATTTTAGAAGGAACTGAAAATCCAATCCTAAACAGGAAACAAGGGATTTGGTGGGAGAGGGGTTGCTCTATTTCTCCTGGTGATGTAAAACATCATAACTATTTAATAATGAATAGTGTTACTTTTTTCCATTTGATATTCTGGAAGAATTGAAGATGAAAATGAAAAGGCAGAACAGTCAGGTAATATATTGAAAGAACAATTTTTTCTTGTTTTAATCAAATTCACCTCAAGCAAAGTAGTTAAGCCACTAAGATACAAAGGGTTACTGGGTGTGAAAGAATTAGAAAATAGAAAACATTATGAAGGAGTGGGAACAATAAAAGAGTAATCAGGAAGACATAGATAATAATGAACATTGCATTTAAATTTTTGAAGATTGAAATTGGCCATTAAGCAATTGCAAAATTACTTAAATATTGCCATTATTATTTTTTTTTTATTTGTTAAAGATGGTTTCATGATAAAAAAAAAAAAAAAAAAAAAAAAACTTAAATCTTTGATAAGTTCAATATTTATTAAAATGGTTGAAAAAATTTTTGCTAATCATTGCCACCTTTAGGATATATCCCGGCTAATATGATAAAAATCATTATTCTAATAACATTTTCGAACTATATGTAGATCAGGATAAGGAGAATTGCTGCTGTAAAATCAACTTACCTCAAAGCTGGGTTCGAAATTAATCGAAATGTAAGCTGCTTCTCTGGCTCCTTGGTAGTTTTTTAGTATAACCAACAACTTTGCTATTTCTAAATGTATCAGAGATTTCAGTGTGTCAGGCAGTTTGAAAGACAGTGCCAACTTAAACATGTGCAGTGCTTCCATATAATCCCCATCTCGTATGCACTTTTGGGCCTTTTCATTCGATATATTGAATAAAACTATAGCATGGTCAGGATCAACACGAGCAAAATCTAATGAAAAAAAATGAAAAAATAAATTTATAACAATATCTTTTTTTTAAAAGCAGCAAAGCAATAAAGATGCAAGGGGGTTACTGAGAGCGAAAAGATAAGAGAAAAAGAAAACATTAAGGAAAGAGAACGAAAGAACAGAAATTAAAACAAAGGACGACAATTGAAATAGAATTTAAATTTTTGAACATAAAAGTTGACTGGAAATCAAGAGGCCAGCCAGAAGAGAGTTCCATAAGTGCAAAGTGTGAGAGAAGAAAATGTTAGCATAGAACCTATGGTTACATTTAACTATTTCAACTGTAAAATGATGAGACCTTGCTGCCAATCCAGCAGTGCACTTAAATTTGTAAATTTGAGGTAGAAAAGAGGAAAAAATCATCAGAACAATTACTATGGAAATATTTATAGAAAAGGCACAGGGAAGTTATGTTACAGCAATGAGAAAGTGACTGAAGCCAAGATGGCAGGTCAGGAGTGAAATTAGTGCAGATTCTTTGGATTTTATGAAGAATCTTTAAGTACATAGCAGAAGCACCAGTAATATTCAATGCATAGACAAAGGCTAATCTTATAAGTTAAGTGTATAAGATAGAATCTAGCACAATATAGCAAACCAACTTTCTTAGCAGCAGACCTATCAATTGATCCAATATAATCTTTCCACTTCATATCAGCAGAAAACGTTATCCAGAAAAGGCAGAATGAGTCAGTCTCTTGGATTTATACTTTATATCAATTTACAAAGTTTTTTTTTTTTTATAAAGTTTTGTATTTTCTAAGCATTAATTTTACAATCTGATGAGATACAAAAAAAAAGAGAAAAAAACATCTGAGAGAACAGAATATGCAATAAAAGAAGCCTTTGATTAATTCAATCAAAATTCCCTAAACAATCAGATAGCACCTTGTATTGGTGACAAAAATAAATAAAAAAATAAATAAAAACAATAATACAGTCTATAGCTAAATGTCCAATATCATATTTGAGTTGCTTTAAAGCACATTTGAAATTCCAACACAAAATCTATTTTGATATAGAAACACCAATTTCAAACATTTTCTTGTTTCTTCATACTTTGCTCAGCTTAGCTTTTGGAAGGCATCTTTTGCTATTACCTTTGCACTGAATTAGAAAACTGAATATTCAACGATTTTAGGCTGTGTTTATTTTGACTTTAGAGTGTAAGCCAAAGTTTTTTTTTCTTTATTCCAAAGAATTAAAACTGTTTATGTGACCTGCAATAACAGGGGTAAGATTTTTAAAAAATGAATGAGTACACAGTATATTCTGATAATAGAGAAAAATAATCAATAATTAGAATTTCTGTGATAAGCAATTATTATTTACATTAAGACTAATGTCCTCATCTTTGTTGTTATCACAACATTTCAGCAGTTATACTATACAGCCTTCTTCAGGTGTTTGCTAATCTCAATAACCTTCAGGGAATTTCAAACTGAACACTTCAGTTGACCTACATAGATTAAATATAGATGTTCAATCACAGGGGTTTAAAATGCTTGTTTTTGTCCCATAGGAAAATCCTATATGGCACGTGAACGAAATATTTGTCGAAAAATCCCATTCATCAGTAACATTTTAAACAACTCATAGAATGCAAAGTTCTCAAAGCAAACACATGCCAAACTGTTTTCCTGAATCCTTGATGACTTAGCTGTCTGAAAATGACATCAAAATGAAATAATGGAAACTGACTGTGTAAAACACAATTATGTGCAACAAGTTTTCGATTAATCAGTTACCTTCTAGATGTTTTCAGGCTATGCTATAGGATCCAGATGGCTATTGTTTGCACATGGAATTATTCACTGGTAATTAATCTTCGATTTGGCTGTGAAAAATGTCACCCAGGGATTAGCATTAAAAAAATTATGGCCAATTTTCTGAGAAAAATCACCTCCCCCCCGATGAAAAAATTTGTTTTTCACTCCTAAAACCAATTTTTTTTCAAACTCCAATCCTTTCTCTTTAAGATGGTGTGAACATCATTGAATAAAAGGAATTGCTATATGACTCTACGATGGGAAATACGAAAGACATGCAGCAAAAAAAAAAAAAAAAAAAAAAACAATGTGGTCTGCTAAGTTTTGTTGTCATCACCTGACCCGGGTCACAAGGTGTTAAAAAACAAAACACATCAAGCCATTGTTCAAACATAGGTCTGAAAAAACACACACATATCAAGCCCTTTTAACTAATATTTCCTCTTTTTTAATCACTCTTTGCTCTCATCTTGTAAGTGGTGGATTTACAAGATGGTGACAGCTTGTTAAACATTTATCGCTCACTGGCCTTTGACTCAGACACGTCAAAGTCAATTTGGTTTAATTTTCCTTATTGCTGCTATAAACCAGGAGTTTATAGCAGCGATAGCTCGTGGTCAGGAATTGCGAATAAATCTTTCACCTTTTACTAAAGATTTCTGGGGACGAGTGTCAATTTTTTTTTTAACCCTTAGTGGCTATATAATTGAAAATTACCAATGGACTTTGTTGCATTTTGACCCCTAGGAATGTTGTTTTCCTTCAAACTCTCAATTTTATGCTGAAATAGTTTGATTATGATTTAGACTTTCCGATTTAAAAAAAACAGAAAAAAAAAAGGGTTAATTTCCCATTATTGGTGAAATTTTTTGTTTAGAACTAGAAAAAATGCAAAATTTTCACTATTTTTTTCACATTTACCTGCTGAAAAAAGTTTTTAAGTCATTTACAACAGCCAATTTTACTTTTACATGAAAGAACATATTGTTTGCTTTCAGAAAATACCTAGTTTGATGGGGTTCAGATCAAAAGTTTCTTTGATATTTTGTTCAGATGATGACAAAGTCATTTTTCAATATTTTACCCCTATAAAAGTATGAAAATCCATTTTTTCAGAGAAAATAAGCTGTGACAAAATGACTTGCAATTTTTGTGATGATTTTTACTTGGGATAGAAAATTTTTACCTTAGCAAACATGAATTAACTTTCTTTAAGTTTAGAGGGGACTATAGGAAATCTCAGACAGCTTGCAGTTAATGCACACATTAAAAAAAAAAAGTGTTCAATTTAAAATTCCTGGCAGGTTACCTGAATTGAAAGATAAAGCAGGCCAGAAAGCACAATGGCTAAAACGTTATCATAACAACAAAGATGAAGACATTAGTCCTAATGTAAATAATTACTGCTGTATTTTAATGTAAACAGCATTTGAACTGAACATACAGAAAGGGGAAGGTTTTCACTCTCATGACCTGTCCATTTACTTTACTCCTTCTTCACATCTCTCCTCTTTTCAGTATTAGTAATTTCTTATACAAGCAAATTAAAATTTCTTGTGGTAACAAAACATTTTTTGCAATTTTTGACAATCATATGTTGTACATTGTAAATGGTGGTAAATTATAGGAGATTGTCCATGGTCAGGAAGTAATGCAAGTGTTACTAAGAGAAGCTTATTATATGTATAATGTAGTTTCAGGAAGTACCTCAGATAGATAAAAAATGAAATAAAATAAAAAATTTTACAACTTACAGAGTGACTCGCTATTTCTGAGAAGATAGCCTAAGAAAAGATTTAAAAAAAAAAAAAAAAAGCAAATCAGAAATATTAGAGCAATAAAAAAAAAAAAAAAAAAAAACACAGACATTTTAAAAATAATTCATAATAAAAAAAAAAAAAGAGGAGTAACAAAAAAAACATTACATAGGTTAATGTTGTGGCTTTGATTATTTTGACATTGAGAAATTTGGGCAAACACACACATTATATATATATATATATATATATATATATATATATAGTATAAAGGAGTTGTATTTGCTTTTTTTGTTACATGTCAACTTATAACTCAGAAGAGATACCACTAAGCATTAAAAACATGCATACACTTAAATAATTTTATACTAACGAAAAGTACAAAATTTACTTTTTGATTATTACTGATAAAATGATATAATTCAATAATTAAGAATCAATTGATTTGTAGAACTCTTCACAATTATTGTCCAGTAAGTACAAGTCCTTATGAACCACCATATTTAAATGTGTCACAGCTTCCATTGACTAATGTTTTTGAACTGCAATTCTTCTGAGGTAAGCACAAAAAGCATCAGAAACTATTTAATTATTCTGAAGACACGACATATTTAAACATTACATAGATTCCATTGCAAAAATCTTCGAACATAAATACAAAATTTAAATAAAATACTCTTCTGAAAATTATTGTTTTGTAATTTAGTACTAATTGCAAGAAAAAAAAAAAAATCTTACATTATTGGAAACCTAAAACAAACCATGAAATGTTTCAAAACAAGGAGTAACTGTTTTTAAAAACTATTTTAAATGTAAATGAAAAAAACAGAATTACACAAAATTTTACATTTCTAATTCTTAGTTTCTTTTTACTGTACCTCACTATTGTTACATTTTAGACAGTAAAAAAAGAAAATAAATGAATACATTGTTTATCACTAACTCAAAAACTGATTTTTTTTTAAACAAATACTTTTCATTTGCATACAAATAAGGGCTCTTTGCTTCTTTTTATTGTTACATATTTAGAGGTTAAAGAAAAAAGAACAAAATAAATTAAATTTTAATTGGTGTAATTCAAAAACATTTTGTTTTAAGAAAAGCTATTTCTAGGATAAACAGATACTTTTCATTTGAATCAATGTGCTAAATTTTCCACCTACAAATGACAAATTTTTAATTAGCTTTTTATTGTTAAATCTTTAGGGGGATAAAAGAAAAAAATTAAAAGAATACATTTTTATCACTGTAACTCAATCAAAAATTTCCTAAAATAAAAAAATTTTATTACACAAATTCTTAGCTTTTTTTTATTAAAATCAATTTTAAAATCAATGTTAACTGAAATTGTTAAGACACAAAATATTTATAGAAAGAATGAATACTGAAATGTTCCATTTATCAATAAAGACACATTTTAATTAACTTTTTATTGTTAAAATTTTAGAGGATAAAACAGAAAATAAATAAATACATTTTTCTAACTGTAACTCGACAGGCATTTATGAACTGAAATTAAATGTTTGTCATGTGTATAAAAAAAAAAAAAAAAAAACCCTATTGAAGTATTTCTTATTCTTTGTTTTTTTATTATTACATTCTTATGTTTAAAAAGAATAAATAAATGTTTTACTCAGTGTAACTCAAAAAATTAAAAAAAAAAAAAATTTCTGAGAAACGAATAAAGGAGATATCATTTTACTTCCAAGATTTCCATTAGTTCCATCAGACACAGTGATTGCCTTCAAATTTTGAAGGTTCCAGTTTCTATGCAAGCCCTGTTTTGCTATGACTATTCATAAAGTGCATAGACAAACCTTCACGGAAATTAGAATTGACCTGTCCATTGCATGCTTTTGTATATTGGAGTATCATGGACAAGAAGTGCAAAAAGACTAAGCATACCTGCTCCAAATAATCAGGCACTCAATGTAGTTTATCTGGAAACCCTTTTGGATTAATCACAGACTTTAAATATCTTGACAGTATTAGTTCACAAATTGCAGAGAGCAAATTGTCATGTTTACAAAGTATGTTTTCTAAGTTGTACACAAGGTTGTAGATCTGAATAATAAATTATTTTTAGTTTGATAAGGAATTTGCTACAATTCATTTTCGCTTGGTCATGGACCAGGTATTTCTGCGATGCCATGTTTACATAAAAGACATAAAATAAAATTAATAAAAAATATATACTTAATAAGGATAGAAAAATTAGACTGATTTTTATATGTAACAAAAATATATCCTCTCTGTTACTAATCTCTTACTCAGTGGTGTTCCTAAACTCCTTTTAATACAGTCATGAACTGGGTACTTCTGCTAGTGCGTGTGTGTGTGTGTGTGTGTGTATATATATATATATATATTATTATAAATTAATTGATTTAAAATGTTTTTTCTCGCTACACAGTTCTAACCATGTTTCAAAAATGGAAGCTAAAAGCCTCGAATTTAATTTTGTAATTAAATTAAAGACATTAGTTCCATTTCATCCTAAAATTCACTTGAGGATGAAATGGAACTAATGTCTTTGATTTAATTACAAAATTAAATTGGGCTTTTAGCTTCCATTTTTGAAAACATGGTTAGAACTGTGTAGCTAAAAAAACATATTTTAAATCAATTAATTTATAATATTAATGCTCTGTAAATTTACATTGAGCACTATTTTGTAAAAATAAAAAAATAAAAATATCTATAAGAACACCGGATTAGATGACAATTACTGTTTTGTCCGTGTATTGTAATGCATATTGTAATGTAATTGTCATCTTTGATAATGGCTTATATAAGCCGAAAGCTTAGGTAGGATTAAAAAATATGTATCAATATTGTGATTTTCTTTTTTCGTTTAATGATATTAAGCTTCTCAAATGATATGAAAAGAATTTACATAAAATAAACAGACAACACTTGTCTATATTTAATGAAACATGCATCAATGAAAAAATGCTGCCTAAATACACACACACGTGTGTGTGTGTGTGGAAAAATAGGAAAGAACACGTTAGGTAAATAATCCGGAGTTCTTTAGTATTTTTGTTTTTTTTAAAAACAGTGCTCCATACAGAAGTAGGGTTTATAAAGATGCGTAAATTTCAAGATTGGTTATTCCTAAATTTTCGCTTGAGGATGAAACAGGGCTTGATACCTTAATTCAATTTAATTTTAATAATTATATTGAGGGTTTCGGCTCTCGTTTTTGAAACATGAGAACTTTTACGTAGCGAAGAAATCATTTTTTTTTTTAAATAATTATTATATATACATATATATATATATATATATATATATATATATATATATGAAAGAGAGAGAGAGAGGGGGGAGAGAGAGGACTATATCTGAAAAATTCCAAAGTTAATGACTTTTCACCAAATTCATTCAATGTTCAATTCCGATTCCTTCATCATCATTTTATACATTTGACATAATTTCCTCTTAATTATTTAAGATATCTCTTGGGAAATTTTTGCAATTTATTTCTAATTTATCACCTCAAATCAGTTTTTGCACTTGACAGGATAATCTTCAATGCTCATGCTTTTTTTTTTTTTTTTAATACTGAGGGTAATTTAATAACATATCAACCCTCATTTGGGCATTTAATGCAGAATATAAGTCTTAATGAAAGAGAAAATTTTTGTGATGCATTGCGTCCTTTAAGACTTCATGGGACAAAAGTGATGTTTACATTGATGTAAACATACATGCACACAAAGGAGAGGGGACACTGAAATTTTTAACTTTTAAATTCAAATTTAATTTCTGCACGTGTGTAGTTATCGCAATGTCACTTTCGCCCAATAGAGTCATAAGAGACAAAATGTGTTAAACAAAATCTTTTTTCAACCATCATTAATTTTCGTTACATTGTTCCAAGATATAAAAATGTCTATATCATTTTCATCCAAAAGTCCTTTCACAATGAATTAATAGATGGGTTGGGTTTATATACCAGATCCTGCAAGCACCCACTCATAAGGTGGCCCCCTTTAGAGAAGGTTTTACCCATCTGCAGGGATACAGATAGCATATTCCAATCCACACCAACAGAGCTCTTCTGTGTGTGTGTGTGTGTGTGTGTGTGTGTGTGTGTGTGTGTGTGTGTTATAAGTTTCCTTCATTTTTGTATAAAAAGAGCATATAGGTAATTTGTCTTATGTATCCCATAACACAGGACTGATTTCCTTTTAATATACCACAAATAAGACTTCACTTTGCAATTGTCATTGCAAAAACATGTCTCATAAGTTCAAAACTCAATTCTCAGAACCGCAGGGGTGAGAAAAAAATGTAAGGTTTCAACTAACAATCATGATATCTTCAGATATATCTTTCTCATTTATAGTTGCAATGATTGGGATAACTTGAGGTGGTATAATGGTTAGCAAGCTTGTAGTGTTAGAACAATTATGACTGAGTAGTGAGTTTGATCCTCACTGGGTACCCACTACTTTCAGCTTTGTTCCACATCTAAGCTACACTTGGAAAATCACTATAGTTACATTGATTGACTGATACAAGACCTACTAATTAACCCATAGTGGGGAGATAAGGTGGATTCATACCTTTCCCAAGGTTATTTGAATGCTAAGTGAATATAACAAACAACTGGAATTGGAACTTGGCTCTCCAATTAACAATTCTGAGCCATTATCCATTATACTACCTGCACATCTAAACTTACAGCACCTGGTATTCCCAAGCAGTTACCCATCTAGGTCCAACATTGCTTAACTCTGATGACTGTTTGAAAAACATATGATTGTAAGTCCTTTATAGCTGGAACCCTACTATGTAGCAAATGAATTATAGAGTTTAAGAAAGACAATGGACACAGCATGTGAAAGAAAGAGAATTGAGGAAGGCAGAAGAGTGCATCATCTGAAATAAAAATTAAAATGTTCAAAATCAAAGTTTCAAATGAGATAATCAACTCACCATCATCCATTTTCAATCAGCTCACTGAAAAAGATGAAAACAATAAAATAAGGAATACAGAAATATTTGTGCTGCATAACAATCGGTCAAATAACAGATTCATTTTGATGACATTTTTGTTTGAAATATTTTACACCAGTGGAAGTTTTTAAAAGAATGGACATGGTTTTTATTTAGCACAAAGTGAAGCGAAGAGATTTAACAAAATAATTGACTGTTTTGATTTTTCTGTCTTATCAACCCTTTGTGAGTTATTTAAAGTTGTAAATATATTACACCAGCAGAAGATTTTAAAAGAACAGACATGGTTTTTTTATATATATATATATATATATATATATATATATATATATATGACTGACTGATTCAGTTTATCAATCCTTTGTTGGTTGTTTAAAGCTGAAACATATTTCAAATTGTAAGAGGTTGCTCACAGTACCAGGTGTTCTCAATTGGTTTCCTAAGTACTAACAAGGCTCAACATTGCTTATCATTGGTGATCAAACAAGAACTGGGGTCTTCAGCATGATTTAACTGTAGACTTTAGCAAGGTAACAAAAAATCCAAACAAAGCAATAAATACAAAAAACAAGAAGGTAATTATAAATTGTTGGTTTACCATGTCATGCTAGACAATTTTTCTCACCCAAATCTATCTTGCACATTTATATTCATCCATGCATTGAATATTGCTGCCACATCTGGTCTAGTTCTTATTCTATGTATCTATAAATTCTTGACAAAATGCAAAGAAGACTCTACAAATAGTATTGGTCCTGAGCTGTCTTCTCTGATTCAATCACTTTCCCCACCACTGTAACATAACTTCCTGTAACTTTCCTATAAATATTTTTGTGACAATTGTTCTGAGCTTTCCTCTTTAGTAAATCAACTTTCATGAATTTAAGCATAATACTAGATTGGCAGTTAGGTCCCATCATTTTACTGCTGAAATGGCTGTGCAGAGAACCCTGTTCCAGCTTCTTGCTTTCCCCTCAAAAATTTAAATGCAACATCATCTATTTTCTCAGTTTTTGTTCTTTTTATTGTCCTTTCTCCATACTAAAGTTTTCTCATTTTCTTTCATTCTCAGTAACCCTTTATACCCAAGTGGCTTTATCGTCTTGCTTGGGATTAAATGATTAAAAAAGATTTCCACAGGTTCTAGCAGAGTGACTTAACTAAGTGTTGTAGAGTAGTTTTCACAGTGGAGGCTTGTATTTCACTAAGTCAGTCCTAAATTAGGTTCGACATACAAAACGTTAGGAACTTGAAATAATAGTTAATGACGCAGCAATCTAGTTGTGGTGGCTGATACTTTAATGTCCGACATCGACTGACTCACACAACTCACTGAGCTTCACTGGCGACTGCTACTACTACTACTTATTATCTGTAGGAGAGTATTTACAATAGAAATAGGTACATTCCGGTATAACACTAAGAGAATTATGTAGAATTATTTTTGGACTGTATTTAAGCAAACCCTGCTATACCTCACTAACAAGCATATAGTTTGGAAAATTGAAACATTTAAACCTTAAAAAAGTATTATTTTCAATTACTGAGTTAATTAAATAAAACGAATATATAATTTTACATTAATGACTCAGCAAATATCTGGAGCTAGTCAAAATGCATTAAGTCCATTAAACATTTGATGAGAATGAGGAGTTATTTACATGCAAACTATTGTCCTCATCTTTGTTGTTGCTATCCAATTTTGGCCATTGTAAACCACCAGGTGAGCAATAACTGAGCAGTACTAAATAAAAGAACTAGATGATATAGAATAACAGCAATCTTTTCCTGTAAATTAAAAGGTTCAATTCCTGTAGGTTACTCAAATTGACATACACCTTCAAGTGTATGCCAATCCAAGTACAAGGTGTAAATGAGATGATTTATCAAATACTATTGCTCTAGTTATCTATTGCACATTTTTGTTAAAAATTCTACCTGGCCTTAAAATAAATGAAATTCTATTAATTTTTACTTATTTTAACAGGTTTCTTTCAATTGTCTTTTGCCTTATATAGAATTATGACGTTTTGCAACCCTATGTTCCTGTGATATAAAATTATGAACTTTTAACCAAAAGTAATGAAAAAGGAATTGTCTTAGTTCTTGAAAAAAGTCACTATGAAACTGAAAATTCCATTTTACCATAAACACAATAAGGGTAAAAAAAAAAAATCAAAATATTTTAGAAGCTTTATTTTTCAATTTGCTAAGGATGTAATTGGATAGTACTTATTTATTTTTAATACATTTAACAGTTTATAGCTATGGCATAATATACAAATTTGTAAATATACAAAAACAAGTTCTCGTTCATTCCAGAAAGTTATAGTACTACTATACTTATATACAATTTTAGAAATTTTGTGCTGGGGTGACATTAAACCTTTCATCATTTTTTTTTTTTTTTAACAAAAGTTCATCAAATTATGATACAGGAAATCAATTATTTTACAAAAAGTCATAAACCTAATATATATAATTAATACAAATATGAAATGTATGACTTAGCCGATCGAGGTTATATTCATCAACCCCCACCCCCGACTCCAGTTTCATAGATGAACCTTTTTGTAATCATTTGGTCCACTCATCAGATGATCAGAATGTGTCTGTATGGTTTTAAATATTCTCATAATTCACCTTATTTCTGTAAAGAAAATTTTAAACATGAAGGAGGAAAAAAATAAAAATCAGCAGCTAATTAACCCTGAACGTTGGTTGGGTTTTTTAAACATCTAAAATGAAGACAATCAGATAAATTCATTATATTCAACCACTTTAAAAAGATTTTGGCAATCTTGAGTTAGTCTAGGAATTGGGAACTAAATTCTAAGCAATTTATGAATTAAATCTATTTTAACTTTATAAAAAAATTCACAAACATGAAAATTAGTCGCCACCACAGAAAATGTGATATCTAAAGTTTAAAATGAATTTTTAAAAATGAAAAATCTTTCTTGAAGCATTTATTTTAGTTTTAAGCTAATAGATTAAATTTAATATTTCCAATAAGCAAAATACTTTGCTGCATTAAATTGACTGAAAGGAGTTTGCTTGCTTGTTTTTTTGTTTTTTTTTTCTAAAATAGCCGATTAGCGACTTTTTTTTTAGTCATCTTACATTGCAATGTAATTATCTTTATTAAAAATAAATCTTCCAAATATAAAATATACTTTTCTGAAACTTTATTTGAGGAATATTAGCCAATTTAAAACATTATTTACTTTAAGTTCAAAATATCACAGAAATGCATTTTTTAACAGTGCACAATGGCTCACAACGGCCATATTTGGCAATAATTTGAAAAGATATCCATGGTATGATGTTGTATAAAGGCTCATTGGAAACATATGTGCAACTCAAATTCAGTGATATCAAGAAAGTCGAATCTTCATATTTTGGCGGGGGGTCTGGGACTTCCATATTTGGGAATAATGGTCCCAAAACATGAAAATTGTGATAATTTCAGCTTGGTTGAAGACAGAAAGGCCATCAAGGGATTTCTAGAATAGGTATGGCCAACACGATATCAGTGAAAATAACAAAATTGAACCAGACTTCCATATTTGGGCATAATTGTCCCAAAACATGAAAATTACTCTAATTTCAGGTTGGTTGAAGATAGGAAAACCATCAAGGGCTTTTTAGAAAATTATAGGCAACATGATATCAGTAACATCAACAAAATTGAATCTTTTCATATGAAAAATCAAATTTTTTTTATATTTTTGAGGGCCTGAGATTGGATTTCAGTCTTTGGGCATTACAGGCCCAAATCGCATGAATTATTATAATTTCGGTTTTGTTGGTGATAGAAAGGTCATTTGGGGTTTTTTATATAGATATGAGGAAGTTAAATAAAGGAAATTGAAAAATTCTATATTTGGGGATTTTGATCCTGAAATATGAAAATCTTTCATAATTAGTGATGATGTGTTAAGGAGCAAATTTCTTGGGTTAGATTGTTGTTGAAGGGTGTGTTTTATTATTTGATTTTTCTGTTCACAAGCAAAATAAATATAACTGATAGAGTCATAGAGTTCTCAGAGTAAAAAAAATATTTGAGTCATTTGCCTTACTTGATTATGCTTAAAGGATTTAAATATTAATGGTTTATCAATTAATGTTGGTGATGACGTTTTAGTGTCTCATGTCATCAAAGACGATGAAAGATCTTAAGTTCAAGAAATTGATTTCTGGCTTAGGAGGTGCAGATTGCATACTGTGCAAGTCCAGGGTCAAAGATTGAATGGAACCAAACAAAATACAAGATGGTTTCGAAATCAACAGGTCAGCTTCAGATATGCAGAACATATTCAATGAAATCCTAGATGTCGATAGAAACATTTGTATTAAACCAGGAGACTTTTGAACCAAAGCTGGTGTCACTCAACAACCTCTTTCCAATTTTGATCAGCATTGCATAACTATCACCCACTCACTCACCTACATAAATGGAACAACGGGGTATTTGGAATTGTATCGTCATGGAGACGACAAGAAATGGGTAGAGGAGGCTGGTTTATGCAATCAGTCTTAACAAATCCAAAGATAAGGTGAAGGACTTCATCAAACAAAAAAAAAAAAAAAAAAAAAATGGGTCTGTGCTTAGATTACATCAATTCCGCAGGAGGTAAAAGTAGTACGTCAACTGATGGGAAACAAGGTCATCAATTTTATTCTGATGAGTTGATTACTATTATTGGTGAACTGCTTAGTAAGAAGCACAACAAAAAACAAAGAATCAATGTTAAAACTACACAAACAGTTGAACATTATTCTCTGGATAGTAATGTGTAACAGAAAGATCAATGTTGTTAAATTTGATCAACACAAGGAAACACTGCTTAACATTGCCAACAACTTGCCATGGGTTTTATTGAACCACACATTGCATGGGACCATATAACATAGTGCCAAATTGATTGAAATGAATAGTGGGGAAAGCTTGGAATGGTATTCTGAGGAAGGCTTAGAGGTGAACAA